AAAAAAAAAAAAAAAAAAAAAAAAACGAACTCCGAATTCTGAAAGACGATTTCTAAAATGGTGAAAATCCTTTAATTAGCCACCGGCAGGAAATGTGGTATTTCGTTCAGACATCTTACCAATTATAGCCCACTGGGTCCCTGCATGGTGCTTTCCAAATAATCAAAACCAGCTCTTAATAGTAGTTCACCCAGACAGGAGAGAAAGAGCAGGACCAAATCCAAATGAGAAGATGACATTACTAAAGAAAGCCCATCCCAGCGGGGTGTTAGGACCAAGTGCCATTCTGAATGGTGGCAGATGGTGGCAGAGCAACAGACCAGAAGTAGGGGCTCTGATTGGGGAACACAGGTACCCAAGAGCAGGAAGGGAAAACTAGAAGTAGAAAAGCCCAGAACACAGGTATTGGAGTCAAATGAACTGTATGAAATCCAGTCTTCTTCCCAAGTTCTTAGAGACAGTAAGATTTGGACTGTGTGTGTGTGTGTGTGTGTGTGTGTGTGTGTGTGTGTGTGTGTGTGTGTTTCATGCATGTGACTACAGCTGTATGTACCTGTATGCACATATTTGATACATACATCACTGTCTTTCTATGGATCTCTGCTTCACTGCCTTGAGATAGGGCCTCTCATGGAGTCTGAAGTCACTTACTCATTATGGCCAGGCTGACCAGTCAGGGATCTCTAGTGATTTACTTGCATCTGTCCCCTAGTGCTGGGGTTATAGTCTTGCTTAGACACACTTAGCTTTTTGTGGGGACTGTGGAGATTTGAACTCGAGCCCTTGGGTACTCATGCTTGAAAGTGCTCTTTCCCATTGAACATATCCTCGGTTTCTTATTGATGAGTTGGTCTCCTTAGAGGGCTACCCTCAAGACAAGGAGTGACCCATGCAAAGCACTATGAGGAGTCTGCTACCCAAAAGATCCCCATTGATCTTCCTTCTGCTCCTTGTGACTTCCCTTCCTGCACCAACTACCTTGGATGGAACTAGGAGAATATCAGAGCAGAGGTACTGACATTCCTCCTACCTTGGGAGAGAAGCCTAATTAGTTATCACTCCTTAAACCATTTCTTCATCCTGCAATAAGCAGGGAAGGATGCTTGTCAAGAGGCAAATACTGGATGGTGATTGGGATGGGATCTGGGGACTGGTGCTAGGAAGATACATCTGTGCATGAGGCACATCACACATGGCTTGCAGTTGGTACTCACAGCACCTGAGCCAGACAGCAGCAGGACAGTCGCCAGATTTGTTGAAAAGCCTAGGTCTTAAGGAATATTCTCACCATCCACTTTCTAAGTCCAGTCAGGACTGAGTGTCCCTTAGGGAAGCCAAAGGTCCCTTAATGGTCACTTGTGTGGCAGATTCCATTCAATGTTAACTCAAAACAATGGGGTAGGGCACAGAGAGGTCAAACAAAAGAACTCTGTTGGTAGAACATGCTTCTAGTGGCGCAGTGTTTGTCAAAGGATAGCCACTCTAATCACCCATGTAGGTGCTAGATAAACTAACAGATTCCTAAAGCACACTGCTTTGCTGAATGAAAGTGCATAGCCATGGAGTCTGGGAATGCACCTGTGTTTGAGAAGCCTGCTGGTTACCACTAGTGGACGCTGTTAATGCAGAGGTAACCACCATTATGAAGAAAACCGCAGGGCAGACTCCTGGGTCCTGGCCTGGCTGGACTGGATATAGCACCTTGGGGAAGGGGCTGGTGATGCTGACCTTTCCATGTTCGTTATAAACTATGTATTTTAAAAAGTTCATTACAAAACACTCTTTAACAGAAAAAAAGTCCTTCATAGGTTGGGGTTATAGCTTAGTGGTACATTGCTTGCCTAATACCTAATATATATATGACTCTTAAGTTTGATCCCCAGAACCACAAAAACAAACCAACAACCAAAATCTTTGTCAAAATCACTTCCATATTTTTTATTGTATAATGAATGCCATCTCAATCTCTGAGGCCCGTGTGAACTTTCTCTAGTTACCATTTTTACTTTTATAATCTCTAAAAAGATACATTATTTGAAATTCATTTGCCTTTCAACACATTTCTGAAAGCCATCTTGAAGGGGCTTTCACCAATAAAGTTAATAAGTGTATATTGTTTTTCTCTGAGTGTAATGTTTATTTGATCAGTGTGCTTGCTTAGGGCCCAATTCCATGCAACTCTGTTGTGTTGGTCTGTGATGTTGGGAATCAAGCAAAACAAAAACAAAAAGGCCACTCCCTCCATTCATATAGTTGATATAGTTGTAATATTGACTTCTATCAGTTTTTTAAAAATATATTTGATTAGACTCATCCTCCTTCCCCCAGCTCCTCTCCAAAGCCAACTTGAGTGGCAGCTAAGATAGAAACAGAATGAAGACAGAGAAAAGTAGTGAGCCCATCAGCTAGCTGTCAACTGGAGGGTGGACCAAGGGACAGGATATGTCATGGAGGAGGCACAGGAAGTGGGCTCTCTCTTGGATCATTGTAGGGAAGGGCTGAGGTTCAGGTGGAGGTTGGCAAAGGCTGGCTGGGGCTCTCTGGAATAGGACTGAGCAGTGTGTTCTAACCATTCCTTGTCCCACTCATATTCCTCACCCAGTTGTATTTTTCTTCAGGGAACTTAGCAGACTGGCATAATGTTACATACATATTTTTTCCTTTTCGTTTTTTTTTCTGTTATCTGTCCCCTGCTAGAGCATATGTTGCACAAAAGCAGATCTTTCTCGTCTTAGACCTATACCTAGAAGGGAGTCAGCAGTAGGAGACACTCAACAGGTATCAACTTGAGTGAATGAATGTTCTTTCCTTCAGAACCCCCAAGAAGATTGGGGCTCAGGGAAAAGTCTCCCTGACAATTTTCCTAGAGGCTGGCAACCTACTCATTCGAGGGCGATGAGCCACAGGGCACGATTTGAACTTAATAGCCCTAAATTGCAGCTCTCGTTCTCTTTCCATTTTTTTCTACATCACTTACTCTCACCAGACTGAGAGCTCTCTCAGTATAAGGGCTGTGTCTGTTTCCCAGGTCCAGCATGACGTCTGACACATAGCAGATGCTCAGTAAAAGACCTGTTAGATAAATAAAGGACCTTGTGCCTATCTGAGAAGATGTGGGAAGTGCCACCATCCCACACTGCTTCCACCCAGAGCTGGGGGGGTACTGCGGACATTCAGCCCCAGGCCACCTCCCCTATCCAGGGATTCCTTCCTTCCCCCTCTGTCCCCTTCTAAGAAGAGTGACTCTCCAAAAAGCCACTGATCACCTAGAAAAAGCCAGCTCCCTGGAATCTATGTAAAGGTCAAGGGTCCCCTCTCGGATGCAGGGATGGCAAAAGACAGATGTGATGGGCTTCATATGTTATAGGGTTCTAAGAGGATCACACTGGATACCTGTCGACCAGGTCTGTTACTTGGTCTTGTCCTGGGCTTCCCTTCCCAGATCCCCATGGGATAGAATCTAAAATGTGACTTGTAACAGTTACCGAGGTAAGTTTTATACATAATTTGTCATAATAGTTAAGAACTTGGGCTATAGGCAGCACATACATAGCTCTGAAACCAGTTCTGCCATGACTTAGTTGTTCAAGGACAAATCAGCCATAAACCTCACAAGTGAGGGTGTTAGTTAAAAAAGAAAGGACCTATTTGTGAGCTAGAAAGAGGGATGAATCAGTGAAATGTTTCCCCTACAGACATGAGAACCTAAGTTCAGATGCCTGGCACTCACATAAAGACCTGGGCGCAGTGGCGTGTGGCTGCAATCCAGCACAAGGGCAGTGGAAATAAGAGTATTCCCAGGTCTCGCTGGCCATCCAATCTGGCGGAATTAGTGTGCTCTGGCTCAGTAAGACACTTTATCTCAAAATACAAGGTGAGGAACTATAGAGGTAGATATTCAACACCAACTTCTAGCCTCCACATAGGTGCACATACATGTGTATACATATGAGCACATATATGCATGAATACATGGATACATACACCTCATGCAAAGTTTTAGGGCTTTAGGGCAGAAAAGAAATGAAATCACCTACTTTTTAGGCTTATACACATGCTACACTTACCAGGCCATAAAGCTCATGGTAAATGTTTAACATATGAGAGTAGCCACTGTTGTGGCGGTGATGGTGAAGGCAAAGAATGGTGCTGTCTAATTTGCTTTGCTGGAAGGGTGGCTATTTAAGCTCTACAGTGGGACTGTCCCTCATCCAGCCACTATGACAGTTAGGAGGTCTTTAATATGCTGGCTTCCTGCTGTAATTAGTGTCTGACTTGGTCTTTCTGGCTTTTACTGAGCCGGAGAGGCCTCTAAATAAAGGAAGCTGATTACTGGGGGGGTAGTGAGGATAGAGACTCTTAGAGAGACACTTGATGTGGTTGTCAGAGTCTGCTTCCTCTGACAGAGTACCAGAAAAAAGAGAATGAGAGGGCTTAATGGAGAAGGAAGAATCATACAGAGAACCACAGTGCTCTGAAGGGCATAGATAGCATCCCTAAGGTGGTGGCAACAGCAGCAGACAGGAGGGCAGGGGAAGGGTGGACTGGAGAAGAGCAGGACAGAAGGGGCAGTCTATCCCAACATGAGGAGCTGTCCTTGCCCACATGGGATCCACCCTTTGCCTCATCAGCAGTGTCCCGGAGTCCAGCGGGGTTCCAGGGTTAGGGGAAATCCCCAGTGTTTTCCATTACTCCCAGAAAAACAAAATACAATAGCAGAGAGGAGCTGGGCATTCCTTTCTAAGTGACACCCCATTGTCTCCTCCCTCCACAAGGCATGGTTGTCCCCCTCTTGGCATATTGCTGGCAGAGCCCACATGGGCTGATCTAGGCCAAGATAGGATGAGGTAAGAGCAGTTCAGGAGCCTGGATCAGAATCAATGAAGCTTGCTATTTGGGGGAGGGGGATGACACTTGATGGGTGGAGGCCACTGAAACTAGGGACAGGAAAAAAGACAAAGAAGAGACATCCATCACCTTTGCAGCATAGGTAGGCTTACCTGCCGAAAACCATTCCTGGTGAACTGTAAGATTTTCAAGGCATAGTTGGACCTCTGGCCTTTGCTGTTGAATTCAATGTGGCCGGTGAGACCTTCCAATTCTACCTGTCCAAGAGAGAGTGAGTTACAGCACAAAATAGGCCCCACCATTTCTGGCCCCAAGCAAGCATTCCTCTTACATGCTACTTCACAGTGTTTGGGAACTCCTGTCCTGTCCACTCCGAAGCCACAGAATCTGAGTGGAGGAAGAAGGGGACCACACCCAGTAACCCCAAGCTGACTGTAAGCCAACAAGAGCTACCATGCTACATTGGGCTCAGATTCAGCTCTCACTGTCTCCTAGCTATGCAGAGGACTGATACCAGCATTTTTCTTTTTGGGAAATCTGCTGACCCTGGGCCTGCAGGAAGTCAGGCTAGTCCTGACTCATTGCAAAGGTCTAAGATAACCAACTCCCCCCCCCCCTCCACACACACACATACAATTTCTCTCTCTAGTAAGAGTTGTCTTTTTCATGGAAGTAAAATGTGACTGGAGAGAGAACTCTGGGGAAAATGAGCAACAAGCTAGAAGTTTGCAGGCTGGGTCTCCTGAGGGATGGTAGTTTCCAGCAGCATGGTCCTCTCCCAGTGCTGAGTTGTGCAGGAGCTACCACTGGGAAAGGGCCAGGTTGTAAGCCTAGAATTTGGAACCCCTTTCTAATTTAAGATCTAAGGACTGTTGTCTTGAGAATAAGCTACCCATGGGTTCTTGCCAAGAGTGTTAAGAACTGGGAAACGGATGGGACCCTGACCCTCTCAATTCTGGTAATGCTTTAGCTGGGGCTGTACCCACCAGGAAGAGCCTTGTACTGAGCATCCCACCCCTGAGTCTGGGCATGACCAGGCCTTCAGCCGCTCCTCACCATGCGCAGGTAGTTCATGAGGCTGGTGCCATGCTGCCAGATCTGGGCTGAGCCACAGGACAGGGGCTTTACACCAATCTCCTGGCTCCGGTTCAGTTCCTGCACTGCCGTCACCACAGCATAGACGGCATCAAACAGCAGGGCTGAGGACAACTGTGAGAAGCAGAGAGAGCCAGTGGTAGGGAGTAGAGAAAGGAAGAGAAGGTAGAGGGAAGGAAGACAAAGAGGACCAAGAGAGAAAGTACCCAAAGGCAAATAAGGGCCATATTCACTGTCCTCTGCCAACCCCTTCTCTGACCCCACCCATGTCTACTAGTGGTCCAGGTTAGCTTTCAAGAGCTTTTCAACCTGCATCTTACTGACAAAGGATGTTCTAGATTGTAGCATCAAGCTATACCTTTGGACTCCACATTATTTCTCCTCTCTCTCTCTCTCTCTCTCTCTCTCTCTCTCTCTCTCTCTCTCTCTCTCTCTGTCTCCCTGCCTGCCTGCCTCCCTCTATCTATCCATACATCCCCTCCCTCCCTGGCAGGAATAGCAACTTCCATTGCTGCCAGGAATAAGCACACAGGACAAGAGGCAGGGCTGCTAATCTCAGGAGGGCAGAGAGAACCTGGCCACTGTACCAGCCTCAGGCATAGTTCACTTCCTCCCTGAAGTCACCCATGAAACTGTTCCTTCCTACACTGTCCTAGGACTACAATCTAGCTGTACCATTCTATGTGAAATATAGTGTGAAACACACGGTATGTTTAAAGTCTAGATTGTAGTAAAATTCCATTCCTATGACAGATTATAGGTGGGTTTAAAGGTAGAAGCAGAATATCAACCAGGGTAACAGGGGTTGGGGAGAGCTGAAACTACAGTGGTCTTTGGGGTTCTAATTAGAGAGCTGCCTAGCTGGGTGACAAGGAAAGTAGTTCATGGAGGAAGACACATTGGAACTGAGGGCACTGGACATCGGGGTGGGGAGGAGATAGGCAGTTCAGAGGATGAGAGCACAGGAAAGCTAGGAGGTGGAGAGTGAGGCACATGCCTGGAGGGTCGGGGGACTAATGACTCTGCATGGCCACACCTGATGGGCCTCAACTGCATACCTGTTCCAGAGGGAAAAGAGGGGTTCTAAGGAGATGTCTGTGCCTCTCTCCTTAGCTATCAGATTACTGAAACAGTGGCCTCTAAGAAACTAGAGTTTTCCCAAGAACCTCATGCTGGAAGAAGACTGAAGCCTGGTGCCAGCCAGCAAAGGCACGTGTTTCCTAGGAAGAGATTACACACGGTTTGACAGCTTCTCAGATCACCACCATGCAGGAGGGACTGGAGCCCGGACAATGAAGGTGGGCGGAGCACACCGTGACCAGAGTGCTTAGTTATGCATGCCTCAGTCTACTTAAACCTAAATCTCATGTCAGGGTCCCCGGATGGACCCGCAAGCGGGTTGCTGGCTTTTTTGTTCCTCTTCCCAGTGTGGTGACATTGAATACCTCTTTCCTTTTCACTTTCTCTTGTCTGCTTAATTGGTCTATTGAGGCAGACCTATCATTAGAACTGCCAGGGCCCAGGCTCCGACCCTCAAAATTCTGGAAAGAAAGGGTCAGTGTAGCTGTGTCTATGTTTTTATCTTTCCTGTTAAGCAGCTTCCTTAAAGCAAAAGACATTCGTGTCCATGTGCCACTGGCACCTGGCATAAGGTCTTCCGTATGGTTGGCCCCAAAGACATATCTCTTCTTAATTTTTTAAAAAAGCAACTTTAGGCAGATGGGTATTTTGAGTGCATGTATGTCTCTGTACCTTGTGTGTACAGTGCCTGAGAAGACCAGAAGAGGTTTTCAGATCCTCTGGAACTGGAATTACAGGTAGTTATGAGCCACCATGTGGATGCTGAGACTCAAATCACAGTCTTCTGGAAGAGCAACCAGTGCTCTTAAGCTCTAGGCCAGATCTTCTGCCCTTGATTTGAATTAAGGTTTGACTGACACCTGCTTGATGAGTGAAGTCAGTGTTAGCAGGCTTTGCAGTGGGGAAATGAATGACTGGAGAGAGTAGAAATACAACTGACTCTTGTGCTTGGGGAGCAGACAGTCCAGAAGGAGCTATAGATGTACAGAGCCTGTACAAGAAAAAATCCTGCTTGGTATAGATGTCTCTGTGGTTCAGAGGGAGTTGGGGACAGTTCAGAGGATGATATCACAGGAGCATGTGCTAGGAGGTGGGATTGAGGAGCATGCCTGAAGGGGGTGATGGGAATAATGACCCGGTGTATAGGCTGAGGAAAGCCAAGAAAGGCAGGTGGAATTCTACAGAGGAATGACACTGAGATGCTAGGGGGGACAGTTCCTTTATTGGTAACATAATGCCCCCTGGCAATGAATTCTTCTCCTGCTCAGCCAGCTTGTTCATCAGAAGACACATTTGGGAGGATCTGGAGGGCATGCTCACTCCTATCTTCTGTCTAGCCAGGCCTAGGATACTGGGTCTTTCAAGGCTAGATGGAGGGAGGACACAGCCCTCCAGTCAGAGGACACAGAGCATGACACAGCAAGGTGCAGAGGGAAGAAATGGAGAGCATGGCTGACTCCAGGCCCTCCTTTGGATGCTGAGTGACCTTGGACACCTTGCTGAACGTCAAGCAGGGACTGCTCTTATCTATAAAAGAGGCAGTGTTCCAGCCTCTCGGGCCTGTAAAGGTCATCAGAGTACAGGGGGAAGCATTACAGGTGCAGCTGTATAATCTCACACCCAAGGAGTTAGCGGTGCTAGGGAGGAGGTGATGGGGAATTGGAGGCATAGGATGCTATGAGACAAGAAAGCAGACTGGACAGATGCACAATTACATGAAGGGCTGTGGTCTCCAGTGGGTACTGAATGTGCTGACTTCCAATAACCTTTCCAAACAGAACCTTGGGAAGAGCATTCGCATTCAAAATTCACCAGCATTGCAAAGCCACCTAGTTTTGTATCCCCTTTTCCTTTCCCTTGCTCTCTCCTTCTTTCCTCCCTCCCTCCCCTCCTTTCCTTGCTGCTTCTTTCTAATCTCATTCAGACCTTGCCATTTAGCAGGTCCTATCTGTGTATGTTAACTTCTTCCCCAGTCTATGCAGACACACTGGGGAAAGTCTTTGAGTCCCTGCTGCCTCCATGATGTCTCCTGTCTTCCCAACTCCATCTTACTGCCTCTCTGTGCCTTGGCCTTGGGGCTACTTAATCTGAAGTCTGAGCAGATGAGGGTATCCAAATTACAACCCCCAGTTTCGGGGTGGAAAATTATGCAGCCCTGCTGAAATGGCTGAGCAACCTCACTGCTCTGAGCCCCCTCTATCCAGCCGCTGCTTCCTCCTCTCCTCTCCCCACTACCCTTGTCCTGGTCACCTAGCTCCTTCAAGGGAGTTGAGGCTCATCATCTGCTTAGCACATGCTGCTCCTCCACAAGCCTGCAGCTGCCCTTTTCCTTGCACCTCACTCCTACCAGAGCACATGTGGCTCTCTTATCAATGGCTGCTCACATTTCCTTGCTGAAGATGTATGGAAATGGCAGATGCTGTAGACAACCTTTCCAGCTCTGGCCAGCATCTCCCTGAGAGATTATTGCTGCTAGCTTGTTGCTTTCAGCTTCTAGGTCATAAAATTATTTTGTTGCTACTTCTTAACTATAATGTTGCTACTATTACGAATTGGATGCTCCCAGTTTACCTCGTGGCCTCATTGGTTGGCTGTCTTGGTGCCAATTAAGATGTGAACCATTAGCCAGTGTTGCCTGCATAGACCGTATTCTCCTGCTTCCTCCCATTTTGTTTATGTGTCCTCTGCCCTCTCATACTGTCATCAACTTCTGGTTCAGCTATGCCTGGGCCAAGTGAGTCACCCATGCTCTGATAATGTGTAGCACAAAGTAGACCAGATCTGACCCATGAACCTGGGTGGAAGGCAGTGCTTCTCGGGAGCATGTTCTCTCTCCTAGAATGTACTATCTGTCTTCTCTTTTTAGATAGCACTGTTTCTGGATGCAATGCCTGGCCCCACAGCAGTCAGCTTAGTGCTATGCTGAGTATGGAGTTGACACTAAAGGTGACTGAAGAGAGAATGGGAGGGTCTGAGCTTCCAATTATCTTTCCCTCAAGTCTTGCTATGCTGTGGTGTGACACCACATTGAATTTTAACTGAGTTCCTGCTACTAGGAACTGAGAGCACCCTAATCGGTATAGAGGACCCAGGGATCGCCCATATCTCAAGGTAGTGCTGCTCAAGGTCCCAAGACAGGCATGCAACCTATCCTCTCTTGAGGGTCTCCCTCTTCTGGAGGCTGTACCTTGGTTTCTGAGGGACAAAGCATGATTTTAGAGGAAACTGATCACACCATTATCTTCCTTCCTCCCACATGGTTGTTGCTAGTCCCAATCTGGCTAGGATGAGGTTTCCTTGACTTGATCTCCGTCTGCCTGTCTGTCTGCCTGCTGTCTGTCTTCTCTCTCTCTCTCTTTCTCTCTCTCTCTCTCTCTCCCCCTCCCTCGCTCACTTGCTGGCTCTCTCTGTTGTACACAAGTACATTGTTCATATGTATGTTGTACACATATATATGCCCAAGTGTGTTTGTGAACGCATGTGTATCTTCCTCTCTCTCTTTCTCTCTCTCTCTCTGTCCTCTCTCTCTCCCTTATTTTTTGAGACAGGAGTTTCTCACTGAGCCTAGGACTCACCAGTTAGTTAGAGCTAACTGTCCAGTAGCTCTAAGAATTCGCTTGCCTCCACCGTCCCAGGACTGGGGTCACCGGTAAGCAGAGCCAGCCTAGCTTTTACATGGTGCTGAGGATCAAAACTTGGGCCCATATGCTTGCACAGCAAGCACTTTTCCCACATATCCATCTCCCTAGCCCCAGCTAATGTTATTAATACATTATCTAAATGCTGAGAGATCAGCGTGTGTTTGTTCCTAATGTCTTTTGTCATCTATAATGCCAGGGCCTTCATGATCCTTCAGATATTTCTTGTATTACAATTCAAGCTGAGGACATTGGGGTAGGGACTAAGTGGGTGGAAAATTATCAAAGTTCCTGCCTCATCTCTACCTACATGTGGCCTTCAGAGAGTTACATGGGAAAAATGTCTCCAAGGACACTGTACTTCCTAGGTCTTCTTTGAAGTTCAGCCTGAACTAATTCAAGTTAATACCCTGTATAGTGGAACATACTCTACCTCAAGGACAGTCTCCTTGGGGTCCTTCCTTCATCATCAGATGCCCCTCTTCTATAGCATCCTGGCCAACTACCTAGGCCACTCATCTCATCTTTCTCCCTCCTGAGAATTTACTTCCTACGCCGCACTCCTCTAGCCAGTCTGGCCCAGTTGTCAATCTCTTTCCATTTCTTTCCAATTCTCTTATCCAGATCCCAGCTGCCAGGGAGTAAGACTCTGACATCCCTGCCAGTCCATCAGTGCCCTTGTGGTTCAGCTGTCCATTCCAAGCCATCTCTTCATTGTCCTAATTGCCTTCTCCCTCTGCTATTATTGACTAATTCCATTCTGGAAAGCATTCAGACCACAGGCAGTGAAAAGTGGTTTGTGTCATCAAAGGCTTTGTCCCTGTCTCTACTTCTGCATCTTTAGGGAAAGGAAGGAAGACATTTCTGCTGTCCCTTTTCCTTCCTTTCCATTTCTTGTTCCTCCCAAGACTGACCCCTCCATCTTTCTGAGGTCCGTGCTGCCCATCTGTGTGGGTGCATGCCTCTTGGTTTTGTCCCTGCTTCTTCTGTCCCCTGCTGTCCCTGTCTCTTCTAAATTGTAAATCCCCTGGCCAGCTCCATCCTCATTGAAAATCCTCTCTTCTTTCTTGGCATCAACATGCTGTTTGGCAAGGATCCCGCTATTCTCTTGTTTTTATATTTTCATTTGGTTTCTTCATTGTTATTTTCTTTTGAGCTGTTTTGCAAATTGTTTCGGGGAATGAAAGACTCTGTATAAATTATGATGAATCAATTCTGACTCAGGGAGTTGTGGCTGGGTTCCTGTCCCTCCCTCAGATGAAAACAAGAATATCTTCTAGACACACACCTGTAACCCACACCATCCTCAAAGCAGGAAAGACTGCATTCAGCAGATCCTCCTAGAGGCCTATTTGCCTATGAACCACTGTTAAGAGTCAACTCTGCCCCCCCCCCAAATAATATTAGGACAAGGACCATTAAGATCCCACAGACTAGTTCTTACAATCTGGATTTTATTCAACAAAATAAACACTTAATTACAAACATCTGCTTTAGCCTAAATTCTAATTACTTAATCTAGCCATCTGTAATTTTAATGATTTCCCACGATTTTTGTTCTTTGCAGCATGATTAATGGGAATGGCATATGAAACTTGTGGGCATGTGTGTCCCTTACCAACACTCCCTCTGTGCTGGCTTTGTCTCAGGCAGGAAGCGCATCTGTGGGCACTGCCCACCTGGAAGCTTCTTGGCCAGGCTATGCGCACCAAACTTTCTCCTGGATATCTTAAACCCAGGCCTTCCTTTGAAACCCTACAAACTGGACTCATCTGAGGAGCTCGACCTGGGATTGTGAGAAGGCAGGGAAGCTGGGCAGCCTCTTCTACAAGTCTAAAGAAGAGAGAAGAGTGGAGAGATGCTTTATAGGAAAGAAAGGGCCACAGAGAGGGAGTTAGAGAGAAGAGAAGGGGGAGACTAGACAGAGGGTGGGAGAGAAGATAAAATCTGAGAGAGAAGCTGAAGGGAATGGCCATCCCAAGGACACAGGAGCCTGTGCATCTATTCTGTGACTCAGCACAGGAGAGAGTCCATACTGTGGATTCCTAGAATCTAATCCCTCACTCTCTGGCTTTCCATGAGGAGCTGGCTGTTTGTGATGAGTATGTCTCAGCCTCCAGAGAGGCAGCCCTTGAAAAGGTAAGCTGCAGGAGTGAGAAGGCTTAGAGGAATGTGCTGCTGTCGCTGCTGCCAGCTTCCCTTACAGGCTCATGAGGTGACAGTGTCTCTAACACCTTTCTTTCCTCTCAGAGGTCATGTAGAGAGAGGATGGCTGCAAAGTTCCCTATGGGGGTGGGAGGGAAGCGGGGAGGGGGCGAGGGGGAGCTGATCTAGGCTGCAGCCCCGACTGTACTAAAACTGTTTTAAAGCCCTCCGAGACCCCCACCTGCCACTCAGCTCTGTTTTGTCATTGTCAGAAGGGGGCAGCCATCTTTGAACTGTCACTAAGATGTTGTGAGGAAGGAAAAAGGCCAAGGCAGGTAATATTGTGGGATGTGCACAGACAGAGGTAACCCTGAGTGAGAACAGACACACTTCATGCTGGCAAGGAAGCCAAAGGGCCCGGAAAGGGACGAGAAGACTTACAGAGGAACAGGACCTGTGAGGACACATGGAGACTGATCTGAGTCTGAGGCTCAGCTTGTTTGCACTCCAGCAGACACTGTCTGCTACCCAGGTCCCTTCCAACATTCTTGGGGAGCATAAGAGCCTGAGGCTGGCTGGGAAGGTGACACATGGAAACACCTGCTGTAGGTAGCTTCCATGTGGCAGACCTGCCTCTTCAGGTCTTAAGAATGAGACAGAACATGCTCCTACTCTGCCCAGGGGAACCAGACCCTTCTCCCCATCCAGGTCTTGTACATAAAGCCCGAATGGCAAGTCTCACACCAACTAATATCAGGGATACTCCGAGGAGCCTGTGCTTAGTCCACTGTATCATTGAACAAATATCACAGAGTGCACTTATGCAAACTACAATGACCATGAAGTCCCAGGCAAAACATCCCTATGAAATCACTGCTTGCTGTGTGGTCCTTAGTTGACCAAATCATTGTGATCCAGCTCCTGACAGGGTTTGCCTCCCACCTTCTAGAAGGCCTTCTATGACCTCTGCAGACCTCCCTGCTCTTTCAGCAGCAGCCCCTGGGCCTCCGGAGCCATTCTGTCAGCTGTAGAGTGGCTCACACTCCCCTGTCATGGTGCATCTTAGAGGCCAATGACTTTGGCCCTGCCTCACTGTGTGGAGTATGTGGTAGACCACAGAGAGTGTTAGATGGTCCAAGGCCATCTAGAGGACACTTACCGCAGGGCCGGTGAAGGGCACATGGTCACAGTTCTCCTGCCAGGATTGGTTGAGGCTCTGGGAGAACTCTTGGAAGAAAGCATGGGATTGGTTGAAAATGGAAAATCCTAAGATGTTGACTCTGTCATCCACAAGGCTGTCCATTCTCTGGAGGGAGAACTCCTAGGAAGATGGGCGATTAGAAAGAGAGAACACAGTTAGGATGGAGAGGAAGAGGAGAGAACACAATGGAGCACACCTGGGGCTGTGAGCAGCTCAGGACACAGGAGATGCTCCACTGAGTGCTCAGCATATAGAAAGACTAAGCATGGGTCTTCTGGGATCTGTAGTGCAGGTTCAGGGCGAAAAAGATAATTCAGTATATTAGCCCCTAAGCAAAGTAAACACAAGATACACCAGGTGGAGAGAGAAACACCGAATATGTGTGTTGGGTAGAGCCAATCATCTCTGGAGCCTGAAGGCAATTTCTATATAAAGAATGTAGGTAGACAAAGTTATTCCCTCCAGAAGTCATCATACAAAGGCTCTGAGGGGAGGAGGGATGTGACCACTCACTGTGTTGTCCATGGCACTTTGATGAAGGCATGAGCTCCTCCTTCAAATATGGTTCTACCATTGAAACCACCCAGACGTCATTCTCAAAATGGACCACCACCTCCACCATACTACACACATCCATACACCTGGAGCTGAGACCAGGGTGGGCTAATCACTAGGTTTCTAAAGCTCATGCACACCAAAGTTCTAGATGCCCTGAATGAACACATGGGATACATGAAGCCTGGGGAAGATGGAGGGGTCTGCCAGGGTCAGAGCCCACAGGCCTGGATGCTAGGGAGCATCCCAGACTAGTCCTGTAAGTGTGTGTGTGTGTGTGTGTGTGTGTGCGTGTGTGTAGCTGGGAATGTTATCAGAGTGTCAAAGTCACTTTGACTTTCTAAAGTTTGCTTTCTAAAACTGTCAACCTGAAGGTGTACAGGCAGAGTTGTGTCTTCATTTGTCATTATGTTTTCATTCATTATGTAAGCATTTCTCACATGCTAAACACTGCTCTAGGCAGAGAGGACACACATAGGAGATGCCCTTGTTGATGGGGATGTCCTTGTACTCGAGGGCCATAGAGGAGTCAAAGAGACAGACAGCAAGGATCCAAATGCATTATCATTTCAGACAGCTGTGGGTGTGGGAGCAGGGTCTGCTACAGTCAGAGAACTGTGGCATTTGGGGCACTGACATCAAGAAGTTCAAGGGTGTTCATCCAAACATCCATGCTGCGATGGTCAACTATGGCTGTTAATATGGCTGGATCTCAGATCACCTAAGAGATAAGTCTCTGGGCACATCTGTGAGGAATTACTTCAGTTATGTCAGCCTCTGGTCATGCCTGGGAAGGATGTCTTGATTAGGTTAATTCCTGTAGGAAGGCACACACTAAAAGTAGATGGCTGTGACCCCCACGGAGAGGTGAAAGATGGCTGAGCACTAGCATTCATTGCTCTTGGCTTCTTGATTATGGACACAATGTGAACAGCCTTCTTAAGCCCCTGACTCTGTTACTTACTTTCCAGTTAGGATGGATTGTATCCTTCAACTACTAGCCAAAACAAACTCTCCTTTCATTTGATTTGGCCTGGTGTTTTATCTCAGCAATGTGTTTAGTAACTAAGGTCTTTACCCTATCACCCAGTCTTTACCCTGGACCTCTTTTGGCCCCATTCAGGGAACCAGGAGGAAGTATGTCATTTATTCAGCTCACTGGTCCGTTCCAGGAAAAGTGCTTTCAGATGCGGGGCAGGCCATCCTCTGAGATTGAAGCTATATCCATTGCATGCTCATTCTGAGTGCCTCACACACAGCTCCCTGACCTATAGGCAGGCATGCAGTGTTTACAGACGCTAGAAATGACCTATGGTCAGTCATTCAGCATGTTGTGACAGATGGCGGTGCCTTAGGCTTACTTCCTGGCCAGGTGGAAACACTGCTTTCTTTTAGGTGGTGCCCTTTCCTGATGACTTTGCTCTTCTAGCCCCAGCAACCTCCACTTGTTTCTCGCTCCCACCTGTAGCCACTGCCAGAACCTTAGGCTGCAGCCCTGAGCTTTACCTGCCCAGATCCCAGCCTTGTCAGCTTTGGTTTGCACGCTGCAGTTACAAAGCCTCCTTCAGAGCCACCAACCCCAGCAGAGCAGACTTGGATGAGGATGAAGTGTGTTTTGGACTCTGCCACCCTCCCATTAGGGGATCACAGACGTGCCAGAGAATGTACTGATTCATAAGCTGGTATTATGTCCTATCTCTTCAACAGGGCAGCTGCCCAGCCACTGTGGGCTAGCAGCAGGCATGAGGGGGCAGATGGCTAATGAGAAAAGATGTATTTGGCAAGAGTGAGGGGACTAAGGCACAGAGCCAGGCTGTTGTTGAGAAAATGAGGGGCTTTGCTGGCCATGGATGGTGAAGGTTAGGGATAGCCTCTCATTCTGGCTTCCTTGTCAATGTAGACAGACATACTGCCCCACCTCTGTGCCTAGCCATATGTACAACCTCATAAGTGAAGGCCCAAGGAAGCCCTGATATCGTGGATGTCCATATTTGCAATGGTACTACGGAGTATAGAGCAGACAAATCCAGCTTCTGGGTCAGGTCCAGCTACCTCATCATACTGGACGTATGACCTTGAGAATGGACTTTGACTTTTCTGGCCTTTACAGCCACACTTCGTAAAGTAGGAGGGATGCTATTATGAACCTCCTTTGAGAACAAGGCCTACCAAATCAAGTAAGCAGGGCACACAGTGCTCAGAGACTGAAGCAGCAAGCACAGGGCCTTCAGGGGTCAATACCAGGGTCCTCTGCACATGTTATGGCTATACGTTTGTTGTTTTTGTGGGTGTGGGTGTATCTCTGACTCTTTGCCTGCCTCCTATTGCTTGCCTTGTCTAGCCTCAATATTAGGGATTTTGTCTTGTCATATATTGTTTTGTCCTGTTTTTCTGTCATCTCTTGGAGGTCTGTTCCTTTTCTGAAGAGGTAACAGGGGCTGAGGGTGGGGGATGAATCAGAGGAAGAGGGGAGGTGGAAAACTGGATGAGTGGAGGAAAGAGAAACTGTGGTCGGGATGTACTGTATGAGAAAAGAATCTATTTTCAATAAAAAGTAATCCTACGTTGTTCCAAGAAACAATCAAGGTTCCTGAGAAATGGCCCACCAGTGGGCAAAAGGTGCTTGCCACAAAGCCCAAGGATCAGAGTTTGATCCCCTTGACCCACATGTAGCAGGAGAGAACCCTCTCAAGCCAGGTTGTTCTCTGATCCCTCTATAGAAACACTGTGGCATACACATAGCATGATGTGCACTCAGCCTGCCACCCATTCCCCATACACCATTAAATAAATAAGCAAAGCAAAGAAGAAACAAGCCAGGTATAAGGCAGGCTCATCAGCATCTGGCAAGTGAGGAGTACTCAGTGGAATACTCCCTCGAGATCTGAGTAGCATCTGGCCCTGTCCTTCCTTAGTCCCACTTGGAAGCTGAAGGGAGGAAGCAGCTCCTTCAGCATGCTCTTGGCAGAGTCAGAAGGAATAGGGTTAATTGCAGACACTCAGAGACTGTCTCCCCAGAAGTCAGCCAGTCTCTTTTCCTGCCTTTCAATCCCTACCTTCTTATCCCTTGACTCTATTCTATTTCCTAGTTCAAAGACCTCTTAAGATAAAACGATTTTGGGGGCTTCCTTGGTGATTTGTGCTATTTATGACGACTCATTGGAGAGCTTGCTGAAGGACAAGAGAGAGATGGCAGGTCTTTTACTGCAATTTCCCGGGACACTCCAAGATCTGCCAGGATCTGGACCATTAAGAGAGAGAGAGAGACAGAGAGAGAGAGAGACAGAGAGGTGTGTGTGTGTGTGTGTGTGTGTGTGTGTGTGTGTGTGTGTGTGTGTATGTATGTATGTATGTGTGGTGTGTGTGTGTGTGTAAACTTAGAATCTCCTGGTGCTTCTGAAGCATACTTTTTGAGAGAGTTCTGGAAACCGCTGACAGCTACCTGTTTGCATACAATGAAAACCTTCTTAGGCAGTATTTCCTGAAGTCTGTTCCTGTGGACATTAGCTTCCCAGGAGAAGTGGACAGAAATTTCACTAAAACAAGGTTCCATGTTCAGATAATGTTAGAAACAGTCACTTACTCTATCTGCCTCTTTAAGATTCATAGCATACCCTAGCATGCTGAAGGTTGAAAGCAATCCTGCAGCGAAGCGGCTGGCTTAATTTTGTTTAATCTCAAATTTTTCAAACACAATGACTGCAGAATATATATTTTCTCCCTTCAAATCTGTGTCTCACAGTAGTGTTCTTCAGAACACAATTTGGGTACTGCTACCTTAAACACATTCAGAGAATCATTATAAACCCCAAATCAGGTGGAGGGAATGCTGTGCCAAGACAGATATTCCATGAAATTAACAAAATTCAGGGTTGGAAAGGAGGAAGGCTCGTCTGACTTTTGTTTCCTATCTCCAGCTTTAACTGTGAATGCAAACATGGCCTATTCCGGTTCCTGTAGCCTTCCTGTGTCCCCTACCCTCCACCCAGCCTGACTGATGGACACTTTCATAAAGTGACAGACAGGGCTAGGGTGGTCCCTGTGAGTGGATAGATTTTCACAGGGGATCCGGGCAGAACTGGGGTGTTTGAATCTCCCAGTAAGGGCAAATGGTCAGTGGTAAGACCATGTCAAGAAACAGACCAATCTCCCATGCCTCCTCATGGGCATGGCTGTGTGACAGCCCTTTTCCCACTGCACACTCTCTCTAAAGGGCTATATATCTCCCATAGAGCAAAGATAAACAACCCTCACTGTGAACCTCACTCACTGCACCTAGAGGAGTGCCTGCTCCATAGAATCTGATTGGCAAGTGTTGGTGGAAGGACCAGTGATGGAAGGCGTCTCAATACCTTGAGGTCCTCACTGTAGCCATCTCTATTACTAAGCACAATCTTCTACCTGTGGGAGATATAAGCACATGAGCACAGGCTGTGCCAGCCCCAGAGGGCTTGCTTTCTTATCACTGGGTTTTGCCATTAAAATAAACTTTAAAATGTTTGTATACACCCCACTGTGTGTGTGTGTACATGTCTGTATATATTATGGTATGTAAAATCCAAATA